ACTAGCTGAAAGGGTTATAGTAGATATATATGATTTTTTCCCGTGAGGCAGCAAGCTTATTAACGCTTTTCAGTGGGGAATGAGTTTTGAGGATGGTTCTGCTGAGCGCAGTAGTCAGAAAGGGTGAGAATTAGAGGTGAACTTGTGAAGTTTGTGGAGGATGCAAAACCAGGAGGCATCGTGAATGTGTGGAACAGCTGTGTTATGTGTCAGCCTACGGAAAGAATCAGAGGACCTTGCTGGTGAGGTGGCTAAAGAATAGCACAGTAAGGGACATCTGTGCTCTTTCTCTGACTCAGAAACTGGTGATAACAGGAACAAGCTTTTGTACTCTATGTATCTGTTCTCTTCATGTCTCTTTCTGGTGTGTGTGTTTTTTGTTTTTTGGTTTTTTTTTTTTTGGTATGGTACTGGCACAAATACCTTAATATCCAGCCCCTACTTTCTATTTAAAGTGGCTTCATTTGGAGACTTTTATGGGTACATGATTTGATTTATGGTAACTAGTGTTGCAGTACTTTAGTAGAAGTTGAAGGGGAGAAGAATGGTGGAATGTGTATATGCTTTAAGTTTGGCCAGAACTTTGATGGTACATTAACTGGGGAAGAAAGGGAGGAATAACTCAGTTATACTTGCTAACAAAGTGTAATTATGTAGAAGGCTGAAATTAGACCATGCAAATCAGTCAAAAAGTTGTTTTTTTTTTCCATACAACTCATTAGTTAAATGATTATTTGCTGGGGGAAAACAATATATAATTCAAGATTCTTAATATGTTAATAAAAACTTGATATCTTTATGTGGAAATACTTTCTTGGTTCTGGCTAAGACACTGAAGATCTGGTGACAATGGAATAGTAGGTTTAGGAACTAAATATTGAAATAAAACTCACAAATACACACATCTGAATTCAAGACTATCTTTATGCTAACACCAGGCATAGCAGCAATGCATGTTCTGATGGAAGTGGCATGGATTTTTGCAGTATGCATGTTGTAGCAGATCTGAGGTAGAATGGAGTTAAGACTGTTGTTATTTTTGGGTGGTTGAAATAAACGATAATTTCTTGAATCAGTCATTTGTGCTGAAGCTAGAACAACAGCAACATTTAAAATACATAATACTTTTCTTATTTCTACTTTGGCTTGCTTGTAATGCTGACCGATTTGAACAGAAACCTGTTTGGCTTCCCCTACAAGTTAACGTTTAAAAAAGAAAGCAAAATCAAAAACCTATGGTGTCCTCCCCAAATACCTTCTTACCTGAGGTCAATTTTAGCTGATTACAAAAAGTTCAACTTACTAAGGTTTAGATTGACTTTGTGCTGCTACATAAAAAATAGCTTTAGAATCTCAGACACTTGGTGCTGGAACTAAATTTGTCACTGAGGTAAGCCTGGATCAAAGAAATACTGTTTTTGAGAAAGTCTGTTAGTGTTTTGAGGAACATCCATGACAAGCTTAATTCTTGCTCAAAGTGTCTTTTTCTTTTCTCAGCATGAGTGGTTTTGTTTGCTTGTTTAAGGAACTCGAGCCTCACCTATTCCCAAATATTTTGTAAGCCTTTGAAATAAACTTTTTTTTTTTTTTTGAGTATTTCATAGACCTTTCAAGTCTTTCATCTCCAGATGATCTGAGATAGTTTTGGTACCATAACTGGAGAAGAGGTTAGGCGTCATCAGAGCGTGGCTCAATGTCAGACTACATACAGAGTTGAAGACAAGATTGTGTCATTAACGTTTCCTTCCTTCTGTCTTACTCCAAAGCAGGACTCCAAGATTTACCTGTTCTTCCTCTGCTTTCCTTTCCCTCTCATTCTCTTTACTTTCCTGCGGCATACCCAGCTTTGTAAGTCTTCTCTTACCATGATTTATTTAGCCTTGCTCCATCCAGATCCTAAGCCTGGAAACTGTGATTCGAACAGGGAGCAGCTCCTTACTGCCAATCTTTGGCAATAACTTGGTAAAAATTCTTCACTGGACAGCACAGATCCTCTTCCTGCTTACAGGGAGATTAGCTGTCAGTTCTTGTGAAATGGAGATTCCCAGTGACACAGAAGTTATTTCAGAAGGGAAGATGGATTTGCTGGGCAATCAGTTGACCTCAATCCTTAAATGTTTATCAGTTGAAGAAAGAAAATATTCTTTATGCATTTCAGTCATTAGTAAAGCAGGCTTTGTGTAATAGTTTGAGGCAAGTAAGCATGGTTAATTCCATAAGGTGTTCCCTGTGTTAGTGGTCCGAAATATGGCTTAATATAAGGTCCAGCTTTAATCTGACAGAATTGATGTCTTCCATGTGGTAAATGAAGTTTTCATCTGCTTAGCCACTGTTTTCATGGGATGTGATGGCTCGAAGTGCTTAATTTCTGCACTTCTACTATACAAAACAGCTTCGGAGCAAAGCATCAGCATGTCTGAAAGCATCATCTGTTTACAGCCTAAAGTTCAAACCTTCCTAGCCTACTCTGCTTGGTAGATGAAGTTCCCTGTATTAGACGTTGCTGAATCTGCGTTTCCAGTAGCGGTGTACACAGACACGCTGTTGCAACACATTTTATATACACACGCATATACCCACAGCTTGTCACACAGGCAGAAAACAGCCTTGCATAAACACAAACAGCACCAATGGCCTTATCCTGCTCTCCTCTCAGCCTGATCAAAATGAAATCTCGTTAGTGGGAAATGTATGCATATATACACAATATGAAGTCCTGCAGGAGATAGGCTGAGATGCTCAGTCTGGGCCATAGCTGTGCCAGGATCCCTGGTCTCCCTGTTATCTGACACCTGGATGATGAGCCCCAAGGCCCACAGCCCTGCTGCGGTTGCTGGTACCCTCCTGCTGACTCACCATGAGGTAGCCCTAGGGCTGGTGGCCCCCTGGGAGGGGCCAGGTCAGGGGCTTGTGCCTCTGCCGGGGTTACTGGGGTTCCCTTGCCTGCCACTGTGCCTGTGCGCCCCTTCGTTGGTGGTGGTGAGGGGGATTAGCCTTTAAGGACTGATGACTGTCTTGCAATAGCCCATGGGCACTTCTGTGACATGCAGGTAGCTAGTACGAAGCTGAACCCGTGGAACACCTCCAATGACGAGCTGTTGGCCTGAGTTTAGCTTCAAAAATGAAATGTTTGATTAGTGTTACTTGCTACATAAAGGTAAAGTGTACATTTCTTACCAAAAGAGGCAGATTAAATTGCTAGTAATAATTTCATTTGCAAAAAAAAAGAGTGCCCTGCTACGTGTGTATTCTCAGTTAGTGAGCAAAACGTTTTTCTTGATGTGTTCTCCTTTACCCATTCATTAGTCCCAAGGAGCTTTTTGGAATGAGCATCTGAAGGCAGATCTGTGCTGTGGATTGGCTTATGAAATTGTCGAGTACCAGATCTAGAAGAAACAGCGCTGCTGTGTGATTGGAGCCTGTGAGGATTTTAAGCAGATTACATCAGTTGGCTTTGGACTCTACGGTGTAAATTTAGTATTTAGGATCGATCTTAAGGTTGCCTTTACCCAGCCCAAGACTGTATGATGGTGTTCCCTATCTAAAATGTACCTGTACTAGAGCTGCATATATTCTAATCCTTATTTATTAAACGTACTCCTAAAATGCATTCTGGGTTTTCTTTTGCTATGCTGAGTGGAAGCTGGTTTAGGAGTTGGTGTGCAGACTGTTTCTCTCCTCCTGTGCTTTGTGGAGTGTGCTGTATTGGAGGGAGGAAGGGAGGCTGCAGAGGACTATGAGATGAGGGCACAGTCCCAGGGATGTCCTGAGCCCAAGGCCTGCAGGGAGCACATAGGATCCACACCCGATAGAAGGAGCAGCGCTCTGAGCGGACAACCTCTTCTCTTGGGAAGGTGGCACAGCTCCCAGCCCTGGGAGAACTGGCGGCGCAAGTGGAGAGCAGTGTTTCAGATAACGGTAGCTTGAGGGTGTCCTGTGTATAAATATTAACACAGGATAGGCGTATGATCTAACAGATACTACAGGCATTGTAAATATTTCTGCTTTGGTGTGATCCTGAACAAACTAAAAAAAAAAAGTATACTCTAACTTGTGGAATCTGATTAAAATTAAGGTTGATATTAAAAAGTAGAGGGCTAGCTTTGTACATCCTGTTTCTCATCAGATCTTCCCTTTGAATTTTTTTTACTTATAAATAAATTTCACTTGTCTTGAGGACTGAAAACTATTTCCCACTTAAATTGTCGTTTCAACTCTTCTAATCTCTGCTAATGACTTGGATGTCCCATAACACACAATTGTGCTAAGCTGATAGGCCCCTATGTGTTTGTAAAAGCATTTGAGGTAACTGAGCAGTTTTATAGACTGAATCAATGAAGTGAAGTGATGCTTTACCAGCATAAGCTACTTGGTATACCATCTTCTAGTAATAATTATTTTGAAAGCTAACATATGCGAGATTCTTGCCTTTTCTTCTAGTTGAGCAATTGAAGATGGCAAACTGACTTCAAGTTTAAATTTGCTTGTGTTTCTTGGGGAATTTTCTTCTCCCCACTGCTTACTATCAGGACTAGTTCTGAATTTGGGATTGTTGGCAAGCTGCCTGTTCATGGGTGTTTGTACGTATTCTGAATAATTTTGGTTTGCGGTCGGATAAGTCACTGCTTCAGTGGTATCTCAGTTTCCTCTTTTTGTTTCTTTTTGTAATTTTTACCTTTGTGGTTACCAAAGAAAATTATTGAATGAACTGCAAAAAATGAGTATGAGTATAAGGATTTTTAATCAAACAGCATTTAGGCAAGGACTCGGTGCTTCATAGTGGCTAGCGTTTGAAAACAAATAGTGAAAAGCAAAGAGTGTAATTGTAGGGAATTGCCTGCGTCTTAGTGGGTTACCGGTGCCCTCTGGAGGCAAAACGAAGAAATGTCCCAGGCTATCAACAGTAGTGACAGGAACTCCTAAGTACCTGCTTTGAGCTTCTGGAGAGTGATGTTATAATAACATTTGTAATCTGGTTTTATTACTTTTTTGTTTTGCAGGTGAAAACACTAAAGAAGTTCTGCAGGGAAAGAAAAGTCTGAGTGAGAAAGTTTCTCTTTATAGAGGTGATATTACATCACTTGAGGTTGATGCCATTGTAAATGCAGGTAGGTAGTTAAATATTTTAGATAGTTCTGTCTCGGAAATTCTTTATAGCGCTGCAAATTTGAATTCTGACAAGCTACATGAAGCAGTTGCATCCAGTGGAAAGCTATCTGGAAACTGTACGTCTCTCTTCTAATTTCAGTATTTTGCATCTGTTCATCCTCTGTGCATTTACTGTGACCAGGATTATTTTAAAGCTTTGATAGTGTACTCACTAAGAGACAATAATTATCTTGCATTTGTTTTTAACTTGACTTGAATAGCTGAGACTTCACACTTAATACTGAGGAAATCAGAACTTAGGTGCTGAATTGCAGTACGTTCCAGGTTATTTTTATAAAATTAAGGCATTTGTGGACTAAATATGGTGGAAATTATTCAACAATAACATTATAAGAATACTGACTTACTGTTTTATGTGATTTGCATGCTTGCTTTTTCTAAGGAAAATATATCTTTCAAGTTTCTGGTCATGACCACCAAAGCTCTAAATGTTTTAAGACCTAATTTAATTTAGTGACCATGTCTCCATGTCTGCAACAGAGGTGAAGAACTGTGTGTACTATGTTTTTTGTGACAGAAGACTTCAAAGTTACTCCAGAGGGGCAAAAAATGCTTAAGTAATGAATTTTTTCATGTATTATATTATCATCATTTAATTTGGGTAGTTTGCAAAGACTGCAGGAAGGTGTTCTTCCACCCTTTGCCCCCTGCCTCGTCCCCACCCCAAAAATAGCATAGCATGCGTGTCTTGAGGATGGAAATTTTTTATTTTCCCTTGGTATTTGGATAGCACTATCCTTACTGGTTAGGAATATTGATTCACTGTAAGAATTAATTTGTGGTATTACCTATACATTTATAGGAAGGAAACATATTGCGATGTCTTTTGTGTAATGGAACAAAGTGCAAAAACCCCCAAGGATTTATTGGCCAAAATTGATAGGTTTACCTAGTGCGGTAAAAAGCTATGTGGAGATACTGATTCAGGTCTAAGAAGAGTGTAGTTTGCCCATACTACGTGGTAGCTAATAAACCTAGACTCTTGTATTAGTTGATGTTATTTCTATCTGTATAACTCCCTGCTTTATAGCGGAGACACGCCAGTGGATTTAATGAAGTAGAAGCAGACTCCTTACTTATCTTGAAATGCTTTTTGACGCGCCAACAAGTAGAGAGGATGGTATTTGCATAAAAAATTGTTATTAATCTTGAGTTTACTGATATCCGAAAGCCAATTAAAATCAATACATATAGCAGTATGTAATTTTATGGAAAGTATTAAAGAAACCATCTGAAAACCACACGATAAAGCAGAGACTGAAAGGCCTGAAGAGGGACATAACACTCTTGAAATACCTAGAAGGCTGTTGCCAAAAAGAGAGGAATTTTTTTTCCTATTGTGTATTCTGTGTGTAACAATAGAGATTCAGATTAGATGTTGGTAAAGCTACTTAATGGAATGGACAGCGGTACCCTGCTAAATTAGACTGATACATAACAACTATTCTAGGTGAGCATGCTGATGCAGATGGGTTCTTGTAACTCTTCTAGTCATTTTCTTCTGTAATCTTTAATAAAGTAAATAATATTAACTATTATGAATTGTTAATATGCTTAGATTAAGATAGTGACTGATGATTACCTTGAACAATCAAGTATTCTGTATATGTCACTGCATTAATTAATTAAATCTTAAATGTAAGCCTTTGATTTACTTAATGTTCACCCAACATATGAAGCCCAGGACTGACCCTCTTCCTTTCTGTAAAGAAAATATTATTATTATTATTTTTTAATGTTAAACCTCTCAAACTTATTGTGAAGGATAGATGGAAATTTAAATGAGGAGGAGGATGTTTTAGTTCGAGATCCATGTTGATTGTGCAGAAAAGTCCAGTTGTTACACTGAGAGATTTTTGAAATTCAACAGTTTCAGTGAAATTGTAGTGTCTTTTTGACAGTATTTAAAATTAGTTTCTCATCTCTGTTACAATTTTGCAAAGAACTCAATTTCATTTGCGGAAGGAAAAATTTGTCTAAGCCTGGAGGAGAAAAAGCAAAATCTTCCTTGAATTTCTAGCATAAAAGAGAGACAGTGCTAATTGAATTTCTTTCATTAAGGTAATGAAGGGGTTGGTGGATATCCTGTGTAGCTAAATACCAAGAAATCACTGATCACTGCTGGAGGAGGATCCGCTTTTCTCCTGGACTTTAACAGACAGACTGAATGTAACTTACTTTCTAAATGTGTTCTAAAAGAGGACAGCTGTGGAACTAGTGGAACTAAAAGGTTGTTACTTATCTTCCTGTTATCAAAATAGCCAATTTTGAGGTCATTCAGCTATAATCAGAGTGAAGCTCTATTTTGTCTTCTAAAGATTGACTGCAGCACGGAGATGCAGAATGACTGGCAAGGTAACTGAAAAGAGGAACCAGTGTGCTATGTGTTTTTTGGTTTTTGTTTTTTTTTTTGGCTAAAATCCATGTGAATTATGTAACCCCCTTAGTATATTATATTTTCAAAATAGCTCCCTAAAACTGCCTCACTAGTAATTGCATTGCAGACAGGTATTACTTTACCCTGGTGTTTTGCCTAATGTATCCTGTTAATTAATTTCCTTCCCTCCCTTTTAAGGATTCTGTTAAGATTTGTACAAAAGTCTTATTTTTACTCCTTTATCCTTTTCTGCTCTTTCAACATTATGCTGCAAGAACTTGAACGGTTTCTTCCTTGAGGCATGTTCTTTATTGCATAAATCCATGATAACTGACCTTTTAAACAAACGAAATATTTTTGGATGCCATTTAATCCTGCCTCCAGAAGTTCTTTAAGCACCTGGAAGTCAGATAACCGCAATTAACTTCCAACTTTCAAATAACCTCTCTTGGGAACTGGGTGTCTGAGTGTGTTTAGGGGAGAGAGGGAGTTCATTTGGTTCCCCCTGCCCCTTTCCTCTCAGGTCTTTTAATACACATCGTATTTGTACTGCAGACGCTTCCTGATTAGAAGTATTTCTGTGAACCGAATGGATTATGTGAGAAAAGAAGTTTCAGATAATATTGGAATACTGAAGCCACAAAATGTGTAATACCCTCCCGCTCCAACTCAGTCTACCTTAATGTTTTTGAGCTGCTTTCTCTCTGGTACCATGCAGATTTAGGGAGCAAGTCTTTCAGCTGGCAGTTAACTTAGTTGCCGTCCAAAATAAACTGTGTATGTCCAGAGTTGTGATTGAGCAAATTACTTCCCTCTGTGTCTGCTTGCCTACTGCCTCTGTTTATTAAACTGCGGACCATATGGCATTATGATGTTCTCATGGCTTACATGGGTATGATACAGTAACTCTTGGATGTTTACTGGTATTTTTAGGATGCTGTTGGAAGAAAAACAACAAAAATATAACACTTAGTCACACAGAATCACAGAATGGTTGAGGTTGGAAGGGACCTCTGGAGATGATCTACTCCAACCTCCCTGCTCAGGCACGGACATCTAGAACATGTCACCCAGGATTATGTCCAGGCGGGTTTTGAATATCTCCAGAGGAGGATTGCATTATGTACTATGCATAGTAGTCCAGCAATCATAGAGCTTGTTCGCGTCACTTTTACCCCTTAGTTATATTGTTTGTAGGGCAGCCGATCCCAAATACAGAAACAAGCAGCAAAAGCCTCAGTAAGGCTTAAAAATCAACTGTGAAGTATTTGTAATGTTAGCTAAGCAGTAAGTATTAATCTCCTTGGGCTTTTTACTGAACATAGAAAAAAAATTGTTACTTTTTTGCTGTTTATAATATATTGTGTGTTACCTTTTTAATTTGAAGTAGGTACAGGAGTTGAATTTTCAAAGTGGGTATAGTATGTATGTGTGTATTCTTCAGATACCTTAGGCAGCAGTTCATCACTACTGGTCTCAAATATTCATTCATTGATTACTTGTTAATATATGCTACTGGTTCAGTTCTAAAATAAGATAGCATGTACTAATGTGATTGTGAGTTATCCTTCTCTAGGCGCAAGAATGAGGGAAAAGGAACACAGTTATATGGAAAAATAAGCATGATTCTCCCTTATTTTTATTGATTGTTAGTGGTAGGGATGACTGAACACTACAATAAACTTTCTTTTTTAGCTTTGAAAACTATTCTTGGACATCCATACAAAGGTATGATATTGAGAATGGAAACCTTTCATCTACAGGAAAAGGAGCTTAATCATCAAGTGTATTCAAGTGGATTTTTCTGGTAATAAGTGTACAGCCTTACTTGTAAATTAGCAACTAGACAGTTGTAGCCACTAGGAAGTTGCTCCCTTTGTGAACTGTACATGACTACTGGAATTATCTCTAATTCTCCCAAATTTGGGGATGGAGCCATTACCTTTTAAAGGGAGTATTTTTATGTTTGAGGGGAAAAAAAAAAAAAAAAGGCAAGTGAAATAACCTTACTTGGTGATAAATACTGAAGAGAGGTGATAAATAATGGACAAAATAACAACTTTTTATTTCCCTTTTCCTACTAACCTCTGATGCTGGAATTTAGTTACTGAACTTTGTGGTGTTCAACAAATGATTTCCTGTACAGGAAATACTTACATATCTGAACGGAGGTTCAGGAGTCATTTCAGCTAAAGCTGCTAGTTTGACGGCAATAAATGCAGAGTTTTCTTAGCTCCCTTTGTATATTGCACAGCACCTACTGGTGAGTGAAGGTACGCAAGGAGGAGGCTCTCTTGGCTGTTTAACAGGCAAGAGTGTTTGCAGGAAGTGGGTTATGTCCGGTTCTTTTTCATAGATCTGTACAAATTTTAAATGCTTGTCCTGCTGTATGTCCCTGTCCTGATACTTAAAGCAAACAGTATTGGGGGAAAAAGTGCTCAGTTTTGCAGAGGCCATGTTTGCTTTGCTTATTGTGTAAGTGGTTCTGACTGGAGTTTCTGAATGATTAGATTTACGAAGTGAAACAACCCCTTTCCTCCTAGGTCTCAACTTTCTCTAATA